ACCAGTGCTCCAGAGTATACCCGGGGTAGCTGAGGTACGCCGTGTCTGTCGGATATCTGATCTGCGTCTCGGTAAAACTCCTACGTTCCTACGTGCTAATATTATACAATAATTAAAGATTTAAAAAAAAATTACGTCGGGGTTAACAATTACAATTTAACTGTTTTGTAATTTATTTACCCGATATTTTTTGAGATTCCCTCGAAACACAAAATAATATAAATAATGTAAATACGTGTGTGGTTACTTTCTATCGTAAATTAGTTTCCTGAAATTAGGTAAATATGCATAGGAGCATCGAATAATTTATACGTTTGTATATAAATGAAATAATGCATGCATATACACACAGAATATCCAATTACAGCGATCCAAAATTGTTTTTCAGGTAACTCAGATTTACGTAAATTATTCTCAAACCAATCTCTAATCGCCATAATGTAACTACATAAAAGAAAATGTTCAAAACCAGCTAAAATTTTAGCCCTATAGATACAGAGAACTTTCATTGTTACGTGCACATGTCATGAACAGAGTGGTGTTGTAAGACAACGTGACAATAAAATACAAAAATGATTATAATGTGTGTACATGACTTCACAGGTTCTAAAAAGTTTCATTGGGAACCAAATAATTATATATTGTATATATATATTGTCAAATTAAAACATAATCGCCAATGCTATGGAATTGATAACAAAGTTAAGAATCAAAAAAATTTATAAGAAGGAATATGCCTGCCTCCATGGCCGAACGGCTACCATGCCGGACTGCCACGCATAGGTCCCAGGTTCGATTCCCGGGCCGGGAGCAATATTTGTATGGCCTACATTTATTTCTCTCGTGAGTTTGGGTGTACTTTGTGGTTGTCTATGTGTGTGTCCATGGCACCCGCGACACAGGGTTTCCCTAGTGCGGGGTTATGAAGAGCGTGTGCGTTAAAAAGAAATATCGGAGTTTTTTCGCTGCATCTGGCAATCTTACACGCACACAAATGCGCATGTCCCCACAGTGCCCCTCCTAGTTGTTACGCACACAATAAATGAAAAGTAGCTTCACTTCTTTTGTTGCGTATGCTCCATCTTCCCGTTGTTTTGTAATTTGAGGTGTGACGATTGAAACTTAGCGGATATCGCCTTCCCCCTCGCCCATTGTCCCCCTCTCCCTCTCTTTGATGCCATATGAAGTGATTGTAAAACGTGTGCTAAATAAACCTAGTTTTAATTAGGAATGGGTAATATAGCTTTTTCTGAATATCGTATCGAAACTAGATATGAATATTCGAAATCGGATTTCGAAAGTATATATTTTCTGAATCTGGAACTATATATTCATGGATACAGGCCGCGTGCGCGCTGCGTTGATACGTTGCCGTCAGATCAGATTTCAAAACTATATATTATTGGATATAGTTTTACAAGAGCAATGCGGGCCAATATTAGTATACAGTTTCGAAGACGCACAAAAAATGGTTTCGCGTTGATATCCACTCAGTGAATATCTGATACGAAGCAATATCGATATATAGCTTCTAAGATACACGATATCGGGTATTCGATATTGCCACAATATATAGTTCCAATAACTATATACGCATTGTAACGCCCATTTCTAACTAATTTCTGTGGTACAATTTACAAATATAACATAGCACCTATTTATCACTGTCGGCTGTGATCTACTTAAGCATGATTTGGTTAACTACTATAGAGTACCCACGAAACACCAAGAGTCAAGCGGGCCACGTTCTATCGTGGTGAAGCTAGCAAGTCCCCTTGTACGAGACACCGTCGTAGCCGCAGTACAGACTTTTAACAGGACCCAGACAAGAAAGACATGCTTAGCACAGAAAGGCCTTGGCGGAGACAAAAAACTAGTATAGGTCTGTGAATACGTCTCTAATTTATAGGGAAATTTACTCAAGTCAAGACGTATTGTATTTACAATTTACAATATGACCTAAATACCATAAATAATTGGTGTGTTAAAAATAGGATGGCGCTAAATTCTTCCAAATGTTTCTTTATTACTTTTTCTAATAAAAATACACCGTCGCAAGGACCTTATTTCAGAAATAACAATCATCTAGCAGAGGTCCTTAGCAAACGTGATCTTGGTGTTATTGTGGATACTCATACGGATTATTGTGGGTACATGTGGACTAAGGAAGGTTCCCGACTTGCCAGATTTGTATCACAGCAAACTAAATTCTTAAAAGACACCAAAGTTACGCACTTCTACATGACTCCTGAAATCTGGTATGTAAACTCAACTCTCTGGTATGTTAACTTTATCGTCTGAAGTGTGTACCAAGGTGCTGGAATCAAAAGTTTGACAATTTACTAATGAAGTTTGGCTTTATGAACAGTGACGCTGACGGCTGATGTGTGTTATATTAGAAACGTAAATAATAACAAGGTATACTTGTTACTACATGTTGATGACGGGTTACTAATGTCAAAATCAAAAGATTCACTCGACAAGGTAAACTAAAAGAAAATTGTGTGAACTAAAAGAAAATTTTGAGATGAAACTGTGTGATGAAAATTGAAAAATCAAAAGCATCTATTTTCATTCACCAGGCGAAATATGTCGACCGATTGCTATGTAAGTTTCATATGCAAGATGCTAATTATAATAACATTCCTGTTGATTCTCACATACACTGAAGAGGAGTACAAGAGTATCCGGTTTGCGCTTGCAGCCGCCATGTACCGGACCTGGCGGCTTCAAGCAGGCCTGACATTATGTACGAAGTCGGTTTAGTAAGCAGATATCTTAATAGTTATAATTACACTCATAGGAATGATGTCAAGAAAATAATGAGATACTTGGAAGAATCCAAAGATTATGGTCTGCATTATACATATTCATAGCAAAATAAAATTAAAGCCTACAGTGATGCCGACTATGCTAAAGACACACGTACATGCAAGTCTTTAACTGGATACGTATTTATAAAAAATGGAGCCGCCATAATATGGGCACCACAACGCCAACAAAGTGTAAAACCAACAAAAGCCAAGCAACAAAAACACAGAAGCAGAGTTTATGGCCTCATGTTCCGCGACAAAAAAGCAATATGGTTCAAAAGAATGTTAATATATATTGGTGAACTTAATCAAGACTATATGTTTGAACATTGATAATGAAAGTGATATTTGTATAATTAAAAATGTGAACTACCACAAACGATGTAATCACGTTGATGTAAAGTATAATTTTACATATATACATATACTTCACGCCTTTTTTCCATCGGGGTAGCCACAGACAACAAACAAGTATAATTTTATTAAAGAGAAATATTTAGAAAATCAAATGGATTTCAAATACGTGTACTTAATAACAATATGTTGATCTATTTACTAAAGCTCTCTCTAGAGATGACTTTCAGTTTCTCAGAAGTCAAATTGGCATTCATAAATTGAAATAATTCATTTATTTTGTGTTTTAAAGAAAACTTATTTATTACAAGTCAATATTTTGTTGTAAATTAACAGGTACTTTTAGGTGAGAGTTACTAATGTAATTTTAATTTTTAATTCTAAGTATTGTTCAAAATTACCCTAGAGGAACTGGCATCCGAAAGGAAACCAATGATACTGTTATAAACAAATGGGAGGTGGAAATCGAGTCCTTCCCGTCAGGAGTCAGGACATTGACGGCACTGACGCTACTGCGTCGCACAAGAAAGCACGGGACACTGACATACCACCTAGTGCAGGTGCAAAAAAGGTGTTGTCGGGGCATAGATGCTTCGGCAACTACCTGCACAAAGTCGCAAGGCGAGAGGTGTCTCCGTACTGCCACGAGTGCGGGGCGGACTTTGACATAACGCAGCATACGCTGCATCAGTGTCCGGCACGGTCTCGTACCCGCAGCGAACTGACAAGCGTCATCGGGAATGATCTCTCGCTGACCAGCGTGACATAAGCCATGCTTGTGAGTAAGAGAGCATGGGATGCTGTGGTCTCCTTCTGCGAGGTTGTATGTTGCAAAACGAGACCGCAGGAAGAGCTAGGGAGGAAGACGTCAATGCGGAACAAATCCGGCGCAGAAGGTTGGGGGGTCGGCGAAGACGTTAAAATCTTCTCCTTCCCCCATCAGCTGGCCCAGGGCACAATGCTGCCTGTCAGGAGGTCCCCGCGGAAGGGGACAACCACAAGGGTAAGTGGCGAGTCTTAACGGGATCATCCCACGAGCCGGCACCGGTGGGTGAGACTGCATACACAGGTTTTTAGTGGGTAGGCCTCAGAGGATCCATCGGGCGAGCTTCTTCGCCGGATGGATCAACGGAGGAGAGTCCCATATAATCCCGCCATGTCATCGCCCGTAAAAAAGGTATTGTTCAAATTAGGTAAGAGTGTTGTATTAATGAATAATATGGAACCTCTTGTACTAGTGAGATGCCTTTAACGCACTACTCTAAAACCATAAGGTATAATGTTCTATTTCGTTAATTATTGTATAGACAGAGAGAATACTGTGGTATTTCTCAAAGTGAAATACACTTTGTTCGAAATTTTATATCTATTTTTCATTTAAAAACATCACAGACCATTAAAAAACTATACTTAGCCCATTTAGTCAAGCCGCACTTGAAGTTGATCTCCTGAGTTGATTGGTATATTCTCACATAGGTACCTATTTGTTTTATTTATTGCAACAGTGTGGTTCAAATTTTAAGCGAATCGTTGCACTTTTGTTTGGTTTTGTTGTAAACGGAAAAATAAATTTATTTCTGCTTATTTATGTCATTTAAAGTAAAGACATGGGTCCTGCGTATTACACATAACCTGTACATGAGTATACTAAGTACTACACATTATGAGGTAGGCCACTTTCACTGTTGTCGCAAGCTATGTGTAGCTGTAGTAGTTAAGGGAAAAGTTCGAGAGCTGGTGACAAAGCCACGAGAAATGTTCACTCAATCTTATCGAAACAACATGATTACGTAACACCTACCTGCCCCTTAATGCAACAGAAACACTTGTAACCTTATTAGGAGTGGATTGGGAGGTGGATGCACGCGTGGCGGCTGAGACGGATACGATTCGTGCTTCTCGAGCTGCGTCGAAGCGGGCGCGACGACGGATGCCGTTGGGGCAAACTGAACGCGGGGCGGCGGTGGCGGCATTGGGTTCGGCGTCAGCGTGTACATCGCCGTCACCGGTGCCGCGGGCCACGGCGATCGTTGCGGTGGCAATGCACTGTCGCTGTCACTGCTTTCGTTTTCCGAGCTCTCAGTCTTCACGCTTCCCACACTGCGCAGACTCCCCATACTGTCTAAACTGGCTGCATTCACCCCTGTACTCTCCTTTGGTCCGCCCAGAGGATTTCGTCGTGGCTTTGGTGTTTCTGGAAGTTTATCAATTTACACACTTACACAGTAGTTATACACTGCGAGGGGCACAGAACACTTGACAGAAATCGTACAGTACCCACCATTGACTTACAAATAAATGGACGACGGGTCTAATACAAAAACCACGAAAAAAATGTCCCAAGTCAACCTATTTAAACGTAGTGACATGTAAAGGAATATGAAAAAGCTAAAACGTTGAATTTAAATTGTAATGTCATCACAGTACTGTCTAATTTTGCTTGCTTCGCTGTCAGTTGAACAAACGAAGACTAAAGCGTGAATGACGCTCTGTATACGATTTTAACGCCCTATAAGTTCGGACACTTTTTAGCGCGGACCCGACGTCCGTATAATTGTAAGTCAATGGTACCCACCTACTATTTTCTAAAGTTCAAGCGTCTAAATCATTCGAGTCTTGCAGAAAAGAGATTTGCGTAAATTTATTTTATCTATGGAATAAATGATTCTTTGACTTTGACCTTGAATCGGGATATCGAATAGGAATGAAATATTACAAGATAAGATCTTACAAGATTCTCTTATATATTATGCCGATATGGCGTCTCCCGTATCGTATCGGCCCCATCAATGCGCTGCGGACGCCGCCAGGCCAATCAGAACCCCTGAATTACTTACGTAATTCCATTGACTTTTGTTCTGACTGGCTAGGCGCATATGGTCGTCCGTAATAAGTTCTTAAATAAAATAAATATTTAATTAAAATGCTGGGCGTCGCCTACAGATGGGCATAATCATAAAATGGCGTAGTCCTCGATTAGGTAAAAACAAAGACAAGATACAAAACGAGGTTATGCAACAGAGAACCAAAGTCATCACAGCTGGTAGAATAAACCAAGCTGAAATGGCAATAGGCTGGCTATATATGTCGAAGAACCGATAACCGTTAGGGAAGTCAGTTCTTGAGTGGTGACCACTTCGTGGTTAACAGTGTAGGACGTTCTCTGACCAAATGGAGTGCTTAGGACCGGGTGAAATAGCGCACATTGAGAGAGACCTATGTCCAGCAGTGGACTGCGATAGGCTGATGATGATATATATAAGCGAGTTTGGCGGCGTCGTATTAAGGCCAGTTACCATTTATTTGTCAGCTGTGGAAGTTGATCGTATATGAGTAGTACTTACTCGCTTGGCCTCCAAATATCGTGCGCATTCTTGCCAGTACAGTAGTTTTCTCCTGTAAACAAAAGACAGATTTATAACATTATGAGTGATAAAAGTTACTACTTTCTTAGACGAGAACATCCGACTACCTACGTGACTTGCTACAATAATTATTCCCTTACCTAGACTATATCGAGAGATTATTCTTAGTTAACCCTTTACCAAGCCGCAGGTTTGACTCGAAACCAGTTTGACTCGAAACGTATCTTATATAGATTTAGACTAACAATATCTTGTTCAAAGTCAAAGTTAAAGTCAAACATCATTTATTCCTTAGATAAAATAAATTTACACATGAAAACGTCACATTTAAGCTACTGCTCGTTCACTACGCTGACGTCCCTGAGAAGAACGAGCAAGAAACTCTAGGGATTGCTCTTTTGAAATAAACTTAAATGCTATTGAATACACTTTAAATCAAATTTGTGTGGATTCTGGAGCCGTGTCGTCTTTCCATACATCTTTAACTAACACGTAGTCTTCAATTTTGTAATATGACTTTTCAATCAAAATATTTTAATGTAGTTTCTAAACTTAGTAAATGATAATTTTTATTTATTTATTTATTCAGAAATGGATAGCCAACACAATACATATAAAGAGTATAGCTAATAATTTACAATCAAGATATAAAATCATTATATGGGTCTTTCTAATCCAGCATGAAAAATAAACAAGATAATGAAATTTAAAAAAAATTTACACCAATTCATTAGTTTTAATAAGGTTTATACAAATAATACAGAAACACAATTCAAAAAGAAGCTATTTATTGAAAAAAAAACGAAAAACGATAAAATCGCACACACAGGAATGATCAGTATTTCCACAGAAATTATCAAATTATCCAAGAAACTTAATAATCATAAGTTTTCACATGTTTTTATAACCTAAATGAAAAAAACAACATTCCTCTTATAAAATTAATCATTAATCTTAAAACACAATTTCAAAATTATATAAAAAAAAAATTCTAGAAAAATGTACACAGAAATGATTATCATTTCTGTGTAACAAAAATATCTTAAGGTTTAGGAACTCACAATACAATCAGTCAAGAATCAGTCTTATATTTTTATATATAAATCTAAATAGGAATAAACTGTTGTAACAAGCTTTAATTTATGGCACTTCTAATAATTCTTGAAATGTGATAATGATAAATCAGCTTTTATAAAAAAAATATTACTTAATCTTCGCCTGAGTCACTGAAAAAGGTGTATATTTTTTTTGGTTTAGGAAGTTTGTCTGGTGTTGGAGTATACAAGTGAGTGTCAGGTGATGACCCAGCTGACGAGGTAGATGATCTGTAACATGATCTATAAAATGGCTGGCGTTTTCCTGAATATTTTTTAATATCCAATATATTTTGAGGAGAATCTTTATTGTCACAATCATCATTAGTATTTACATTATCGGATGTAGGTGACATAATACAATCATCTGTAGAGATTTTGGGAGGTATATCACAGTCATCATCCGTATTAGCAAAACTTGGAGTAGATAGTCTCTGATTTTTTTTATCAACGTTAATAATTCCGATGCCGTAATGCTTACAGACCATTTCAGGAGAACATTCCCAGCAGCTTAGTCTATTAGCCTTTAAAAATAATGGATTGTGGTGGTTCCAGACAACTTGGTGAATGTTTAATGTGCCTTTAAATGCCTTTGAACTATTAAGCTTTAAGAGATCTTCTAAATTATCAACCTCTGAATCATCTATTGGCAAAATACTTATACCTTTACAGCGTTCTTTTAAACAGTTTATTAATGATTCAAAGTCTGATACATCCATACCATGAGCTACAGCTTGGTCTGCTGTGCGTTTGACACATCCGCCTATCCCATCCGGCGCTCCTTTCCCATGCCCAGCCTCGCTGTAGTGCCAAATTACATCATCAACATCAAGTTTAACAGTAATAAAATGAGCAATGAGGTAAAACATTGACTTGTTTCGGTACTGGGTTACTGGTCCATCGCTAGTAAAATGCATTGTTTTTAAATTGGGAACTTTAGATTTTATAGTATCTAGAATAGGTAGCAAATGGGCACAAATCAGAACAGGGTCATGACGCATATTTTTTGAAATGGTACAAAATGGATTTACAGACACGATATCAAATACATTATTATAGTAGTACAAAACTGATGTATGCAAAGTAATTTGAGGCTTTGAGCCACCAAAGTGGGCAGATTGCACTTCCTCTCTATATTTACAATTATAATTTTCGGAAAAATCCAAATGAAGGAGAGCCCAATCATCTGTTACTTGATTTTTTATACGATTAATAGCGTGGTATTGATGAAATATGTTATTAATATGCTTCATAAAATTTGGTAATAAATCTAAAAGCAATTTGCAAAGCTTGTGTTTTTGGGTAGTTATGTTTTCTTTTATTGTCTTAGTTACAGTTTTTTTCTTTCCTTTAATAACGCATTCTACTTTCTTAGCTACCCATTTTTCATAAACAATAGTGTCTCTTGAATTATAATCATTAAATTTTACTTTAAGCTGTTTACATTTACAGCATTTTCTCATCAGACAATCTTCCTGCAATTTCCCTTCACAACAGATGCTTTTAACAACGCTCATTATAGTATTTTGATCAATTACCTTTCCAAATTTTAAGGATCTTACAACATTTTCAGCATTATTGTGAATGGTGCAAAGACAAGTATCTCGTTTATTGACGTTAGGTATTAATATCCAAAATGGTCTATATTTGCAAAAAAGAGCATATGACATTTTGATTTTAATTTCATCAATAAACTTTTTATACAAATTGTAGAGGTTGTCAAGTAGAAACCTAATCTGCTTCTTTTGACTTTTTCTGGTAATAGTTTCCTTTTTACCAGCAGTAAGTTTACTGCATGCATCATTTTCAAGAAATCTTTCCACTGCTTTTCTCTTCAATGCGGCAACGCTATTATATTTTTCACTGATAGTATTAATTAAAATGCCTTGAAGTTTCATTTGACTTCTGTGCAATCTTGTTTTATATTTAGCAACTCTAGCTTTCATTAATCTAAGCTGGAGTTTCAGAAACAAATTTTCCTGTTTCAAAACGCGTCTATTAGCTTTCGTTCTTCGTTGGCCAGAAAGGGCTCTTGAAGATTGGCTCAAGATGCCGGGACTAGCTGGTGGTGTCGTGGACATAATATTTTCGGTCTGAACTTCCAATGCTTTGATATTTTTCTTCTTCTGGCGGTATCTTTTCGAAGCATCCTTCCATCTCTTTCTTATTATTCTTTTCTCTCGTGGAGTAACATCACATATATTTTTAACCAAACCATGTTCCTTCTTGCACTGATAGCGCTCCCTGTCTTTTCTTCTTCGTTCTTCCAGTTGTTCTTCGGTCATCTTCTGTCTCGCCCGTCGCATACTTAATTTATTGACGACGCGGCGGTTTTGCCGCTTGTCGTCTTCTAAACTGCGTTTAGATTTTTTTCCCATGATGAGCTAAAATATAGATATTTAAATTTCAAACTTTCAAATTTATAATAGAACTAGGATAGGATTAGCAGTAGGTTTTTTATAGAACTAAGAACTAAATATATTTATTTAGGAATTGTTCCCAATTAAAATTAAACATGTTTTTCTAACAATACCATTCCACGTAGTCATTTCTGTGTAAAATGTCATTCCTGTGTACTATCAGTACATAGAAATGATGGTACACAGAAATGACGAACGTAAAAGTTCTACTGGTTACCTGCGCAATTTTGAGGTTATGTTTTTTCGACATTGGACCATTGTTATACAAAAACAAAAGAGTTTACACACAAACTGGCTAAATATATTTAGGTATCGTACTTACCTAGTAATTTTCCAATCAGGAATGATGCGTGAACTTTTCACGAGCTGGATTAGCACTCATTTATTTATGTTTTCTGGATTTTATGAAAAAACTCAACCTAATTAAAACACAGCTGATATTGGAAAGGTCCAGTATTGCCCTAATACAAAAATAGTAATCATAGAAGAAAGTATTACCACATTTTTTTTTAAATTTGACACAAACACAGAATTGATGCTAAAATTCGAAACATACCTATAATAACCGTTTTTTTAAAAATTTATTATGAGATTTTTTTTTAAAACTTGGTGCAGTAAATACATGTTTTTTCGAACAAAAATCATTCATTAATGGCTTCTAATATTAATAATTTATATTTTTTTCAACAAGAGCAAACTTCGAGGTGCAGAAAGTTACATACACAGGATATGACGAATCAGCAAGATTTTTAATGATTTTTTAACAAAATCACATATTTGTCGAATGCGTCATATTTACAGAAGTGTTACTTAACGTTTAATCTTTAGAATTCAGATAAATACTGCAAAATTTGTTTGAATTTTGTGTATAGTTCTAACAAGTGACACTTTTTTACTCATAGATTAGAATGACCCATATATATCGCACTTACAGGCTACCACAGCATACTAGTAAAATACAAGCGGTTTATGTTATAAAGTAAGATTTACATTTTAAAGAGTTTATTACAGGATTACAAAGCAAATAGCAAGTTACAGATTAATATAATTACTTATTTTAATTGAAAATTTCAATTTTAATCCCTTTAATATTTTATTTTAGTTTTAAGAAGACATGAATTTTTTAATTTTAGTTTTGAAGCAGAGCAGTGAATCTTTAAAAATATCCAAATCACACTGTCTATGAAATTGATTGTAAGTTTTAACCATTCTATTTATAGGACCAGATATACCAAGATTAGTCCTAGAAACACGAGATCTGAAAGGTATATAATTTCTTGTTCTTGCATTTGGTCTTGGGATTGTAAACCCAACCCTACTCAGAAGTTCTGGAGAGTCTATTGAATTATTCACAATTTTATGGAAAAAACAAAGATCAAGCATAGTTCTACGATTCGACAGAGACAGCGTCCTGTATCTTTTCAAGTGCTTAGCATAAGAGTCACAAGTATCCAGAGCTCCATCACAATAACAAACATGCCGAAGAAATTTACTTTGCACACGTTCCAAACGATTAG